AGACTCTTTTTGATTGATCAATCGATCGATCAAAAGCTCGTAGAATCTTAATTATTCTTAACAGAGCACAAGCATCGAAATAGTATGGAAGGAATGGTAAATTCACTGTTGCAATGAGGATGAATTACAATAGAGTATATAAAGACGTAGAGCACGTGATATACATGTGTGAAAGCAGAAAAACAATGTACATGTAGCCCTAATACACTATTCTGGAATTGGGCTTTGTATTGGATTGAGTCTTGAAGTAAGTTGGGCCAGAGTCTGTTCTAACAGCCCCCCTCAAGCTGAACGGCAGTGAGTGCACAGTGAGGCTTGATCTGAGTACTTCAAAATGACATTTATCCAGAGGCTTGGTAAAAATGTCCGCAAGTTGATTCTTGGAAGAGAGGAAGGCAATCTTTAGAGTTTTGGCAGCAACTCTTTCTTTGACAAAATGATAATCCAGTTCAATATGTTTAGTCCTGGAATGCATTACCAGATTTGCAGCCAAGTAGGTTGCTCCAAGATTATCACAACATAGTGTAGGAGCAAAGTGCAAAGGGATACCAAGTTCTTTGAGCAGAGTTTGAACCCAAATGAGATCACAAGTAGCAAGAGCAAGTGACTTGTATTCGGCTTCAGTAGACGAGCGTGCTACGCTTTGCTGTTTCTTGGAGCTCCACGAGATCAGATTAGGACCCAAAAAGACACAAAATCCACCTGTAGAACGTCGATCAATATGGCAACCAGCCCAATCAGCATCAGCAAAGGCAAACAAAGAAGTCAAAAAAGACTTTTTGAGAAATAGACCAAAGTGAAGAGTATGGCGCAAATAACGCAGGATACGCTTCACTGCCTTCCAATGAACATCTCGAGGGTTGTGAAGAAACTGACAGACCTTATTAACAGCATAGGATAAATCAGGCCTGGTGAAAGAAAGATACTGGAGACTACCAACCGTGCTTCGATACAAGGAAATATTAGTGAAAGGCTCACCATCAACTGCCGTGAGTTTGGTAGAGGGAGCCATGGGTGTGCTAACAGATTTACAGTTTAACATTTTGGTTTTCCTTAGCAAATCAATAATATACTTGTGTTGCGATAGAAACAAGCCTTGAGAAGTAAAATGAGCCTTAATACCAAGAAAATAATGCAAGAATCCAAGGTCCTTAACAGGAAAATAGCGGCCAAGTTGAGCAATCAAAGCAGTGATATTATCATTATGGGAGCCAATAATTAAAATGTCATAGACATATACTAACTATACACAAAATGAGAACCTGAAATTCTGGAGAAAAGAGACGTGTTCGATTTGGAAGGAACAAAGTCGAGATGAGTAAGACAAGAACTTAGTTGAGAAAACCATGCCCTTGGAGCTTGCTTAAGGCCGTAGATGGACTTATGAAGCTTACAAACATAGTCTAGAAATTGTGGATTTTTAAAGCCTGGAGGTTGAGTCATGTACACATCTTTGACCAGTGTACCGTGGAGAAAGGCATTCTGAATATCCAGTTGCCGCATAACCCATCCCTTTGACAGTGTAAGTGAGAGGAGAAGCCGTATAGTAACCGGCTTAATAACAGGGGAGAAGGTATCGGTGTAGTCAATACCTGGTGACTGATGAAATCCTTTGGCAACTAAACGAGCTTTGAACCAATCAAGAGAGCCATCTGAGTGAAATTTCTTACGGAAGACCCACTTGCAACCCACGATATTTTTGTTGGGTGGAGGAGGGACCAATGACCAGGTATTTGCAGAGGAGAGAGCTTGGAGCTCAGCTTCCATAGCAGAACGCCACTGTGGGTGACGAAGTGCAGAAGTAACAGATGAAGGTGTATCATCAGAAGTCGAGCCAAGAGAGATGTGATTTGATTTGGGTGGAGGCCAAGGGATCGTACCATCTGTGAACTGCTTTGGCCGAAGGCTGTGAGTCTGAGCACAAGTGAGCATGCGATGGGATGGTGCAGGCAGGCCAGGCGGCGAAGAGGGAGGAGAAAGAGACAGATCTGAGTGAGGTGAGAGAGAGGACGCTGAAGGACGAGGAACAGAACCTGCGACAGATAAAGGAGAAGAGGGCGGTGTGGTGACAGGGGAGGGAAAGCAGGCAGATGGGGAAGGAAGTGGATTGGGCCGTTGGGATATAAGAAACGGGCTGGAAGTGGGCATAGATGGGCTTGGTGGAGTGGGGTTATTATTATTATTATTATTGGCACTATTATTGTGAGGAGAAGGAGAGCCGGGAGAGATGATTGGGTTGGACTGATGAAAAGGTGGAGAAGAGGGCAGAAAGACAACAGAGGAAGGGGAAGAAATAAACGACACACAAGATTGGGTCTGAGGAAAATAAGACTCATCAAAAATCACATCCCTAGAGATGTAAGTCCGTCGAGTTTTAGGATCAAAGCAGAGGTAACCATGGTGATCAGTGGCATAACCAACAAAAATACACAAAGTCGATCTTGGTTCAAGCTTATTTTTAGCATATGGACGAAGATTAGGCCAGCATGCACATCCAAAGACTCTCAAAAAATTATAGTCAGGATTGTGTTGAAACAAAAGTTGATAAGGAGACTTAAAATGGAGGGACGCAGAGGGCAACCGATTAATGAGGTAGACTGCAGTCGCAAATGCATGAACCCGGAAACGTTGAGGTAAAGAAGCATGATGAAGAAGCGCTAATCCAAACTCAACAATGTGACGATGCTTGCATTCAACAGAACTGTTTTGGGCATGGGAGTACGGACAGGTGAGACGATGACCAATGCCTTGAGACTGAAGAATGTGATGTAAAGCTCTATATTCCCCTCCATTATCAGTTTGAACAAATTTTATTTTAGTGTTAAAGAGATTTTCAACATGACGTTAGAAGGAAACAAAGACTTGAGAAACATCTGCTTTGGTGCGTAAAGGATAAAACCAAGTGAATCTAGTAAAATCATCAACAAAAGATACATAGTAGCGATAACCTGAACAAGATAAAACAGGGGCAGGACCCCATACATCAATGAAAATTAAAAAGAGGGGATGAGGGGAACAATGGGAAGAAGGTGGATGTGGTAAAACATGACTTTTAGGAGTCCTACAAGCAAGACAGGAAGATGATAGAGACGAAAAACTAGGTAGAGAATATTTAGATAAAACACGCTGGACTATTCTTCGTGTAGGGTGACCAAGACGAGCATGCCACTGATCAGCAGAGGTTTTGATCCCAAAATTTGCTTGAGGAGTTGATGAAGAAATGGGATAGAGCAGTAGCTTAGTTGGACCTTGGAGTAGAATTTTCTTTGTGAAAAGATCCTTCAAAACAAAATGAGAAGAGTAAAACTCAAAATACACATAATTATCTAAGCAGAATTTAGAGACAGAAATTAAGTTTTTGGAAATGGTAGGGATATGCAAGAGATCAGAGAGAAGAAAAGTGCCATGACTGTTGGACGGTGTAGGCAAGGGAAGTAAGCCTGCTTTAGAATGTGCTATAGGTGCAGTAGAACCATTACTCATGCTAACTTGGTCGTATCCGTGATATGGAGCTGCTCCTAAGTTGAGTTGTGAGAGATCAGAGGTCATATGGTGTGTAGCTCCGGTGTCAAAGTATCAGTTACTATCTGGAACATGTGATAGGGAGGAGTGATGAGCCTCGGCCAGGGATGGTGGTGGAGGAGCCGGATAGGCATGGTTAAAACGATTGAAACAGGTGAGGACGGTATGACCATGTCTATGACATAAGTAGCAATAATTGTCAGAAGGAGTGGTGGAAGAAGAAAAAGCTGGAAAAGGTGAGAAAGTGGTCCTTCCCCTGCCACGTCCTGTACGACCACGTCCTCTGAAAAAACGGCCAGCACGTCCCCTTCCACGAAAAGTACCACGGAAAAAGGCATTTGAGGTTGCTGGTTGTCGACTCACAGCATTGGCAGAAATATCAACTGCCGAAGGAAGATGAATTGTGGTGAGACGAGCTTCATGGATGAGAAGGTAACTAAGGACCTCTTCTGGAGATAGCTTGTGAGTCTTGGTAGTTAAAGAGGCTACTATGGACTCAAAATCAGACCCTAGACCATTTAGTAAAATGAGGATGAAGTCCAGGTCATCCACTGGTCGTCCTGCAATGCTAAGAGATTCGGCCAAAAGTGTAGCTCGTTTGTAATACTTAGAGATTGACTCAGAGCCTTTCTTGAGAGAAGTGAGTTGATGATGGAGATGGAGTAATCGAGCTTGAGATTTCTGTGCAAACAGTGTTTCTAAAGCAGCCCACATGGACCTAGCGGTTTTATTTTTAATAACTTGACCGATCAAAGGTTCAGTCAAGGAGGAAATGAGAACTGAAAGAACATACTGGTCTTTAGAGAACCAAACAGTGTATTCGGGATTAGTGACACCTGTATCAAGAAGCTATGGAGGAGGGGGAGCTGAGCCATCAATGTGAGAGAACAGTTGTTGGCCATATAGGTAGGGAATCATTTGGGCTTTCCATATAGTATAGTTATCAATGGTAAGTTTTGATAGAAATGAAGTGAAACGGTGAAGAAGAGGCAGAAGCTAAGGTAGGAGATGAAAGAAGAGACAAAGAGGTGGATTGAGAAGAAGGAGAGAACGTCGAGCTTACAGAGGGAGTTGTGGATTCAAACATGATTTAAAAAAAGAAAACATTGTGCGAAAATCAAGGAGAGGAAGAGCAGGGAAGCGGCGACTGCTCTGATACCATAACAGAGCACAAGCATCGAAACAGCATGGAAGGAATGGTAAATTCACTGTTGCAATGAGGGTGAATTACAATAGAGTATATAAAGACGTAGAGCACGTGATATACATGTGTGAAAGCAGAAAAACAATGTACACGTAGCCCTAATACACTATTCTGGAATTGGGCTTTGTATTAGACTGAGTCTTGAAGTAAGTTGGGCCAGAGTATTCTCAATATATTTGTTTAGACTATTTGAATTTAAATTGTCAGATCACACATATACTAAGCTAGCGCTCACATTGAGAATTCAATTGACAGGAAGAAAAATTCCCATTATCAGAAAGAAAAACAAATGTTATTTATGAGCACACATGGCTACCTAATAACCATAACAGAAATGGAATAATTTATAGTTTGAGATTTCCCACATCGAGCTATAATTTCAACGTCAATATAATAATACAAGATCGAAATCTTTGTGCAGTGAAACATCCCAGAAGTAATTACAACTAGTATACGCTTTAGAAGATTTCAAAGCCAATCGAATTCATCGTCTCCATCAGAGCCGACATTGATTGGAAATCCTCAGGACTATGCAATATGGAATCATCGGAAACATTATTCAAGCAGGTTTCATTATTAGAAATCGTCGGAGGAGACAAATGATAATAACAACCTTGTTCATCACTGGTGCTGGCGGCGCTACTGTCTGCTTCTTCCACAGCCACAACTTTATTCTCAAAACAAGATGGTTCTGGTATGTCCGTATTCAGAAGATCTGAAAATACACCCTCGTCGATCTCAAAATCCACCATGAAATCCAACAGGTTGTTTGTGACGATTCCCTCGGAATCCACGAAAGGTGGAGCGTCCATTGTTTCCTCATCATCGCAGGTAACGTTCGTGTGATTACGAGGTTGGAGTTCTTGGCTAAGTATCACATTGGTGCACCTTGTTGCTTTGGGTGGAATCGGGCATGGAGCAGCCGTTTTTTGTGGGGGTTTTATGTCAAACTCTGGATCCGGGTCGGAGTCTTGCCCGGCTAAACTCGAGGAGCCGGGTTCAACGCCATTTGAGGTAGTGAAGAATTTTGAGTTACCATTTTGAAGCCTCTTTCCGATGTTGGTGTTCCAATAATTCTTTATCTCATTGTCTGTTCGTCCCGGCAGTCTTCCAGCTATCAAAGACCACCTACGTACGTATAAAACACATAATTCATTGTTAATAACGTTAAATACGGACTAAATTAAGATGATCGAAGGAACAGATATATACTTGAAGCAGAGAGATAAAAAAAATTACCTATTTCCAAGAAGAGTGTGAAGCCTGATAATGAGATCCTCTTCGTCATCAGTAATATTTCCTCGTTTGATATCAGGTCTTAGATAATTTAACCATCTCAGCCTACAACTCTTCCCACATCTCTTCAGACCTGCATATATCATTGTGTGTGTTTGTGTGTATCAGTGATTCAGAATATATATAAATATAAAAAAGCTATACATATACATATAAATATACATATACATATATATATATATATAAATGGCTAACCTGCTCTTTTGGGAAGGTGTCGCCATTTGCCTTCACCATGAATCTTGATGTATTCAGTCAGAATCTTGTCTTCAGCAGCAGTCCAAGCTCCTCTATTCAAACCTTCCTTTGCACAGCAAGGCTTCCTTCCCATCTTCTCTTTTTCTTCTGTTCTGTAAATTGAATAAGGACAGATCTGAGAGAGCAAAGGAAGATGCTATATACCTTCAATAATTTGCCAACTTTTTGCTTCGTGATCACTACTTTTTGATCCTCTCTGTATTATATATTAATTATTCATTTAAATCTGTATGCATGTTATATGAAATTATAAACGTGCTCATAAGGGAGCTAGAGCTTTAAATTATTGAAAACTTAGAAGTTCGCAAATGTCTACTACCGTCAATTGTTAGCGGTCCCCCTTGAAGGTCTCTGTCTGGTGATATGGACACGCAATTTATTTAATTAAAATTTTCAAAGAATCCAAAAGACATCTGTTTGTAGTTTGCAAGTGCCGCATGGGGAGCTGGGGACCATCCATCAGCTGCCTGAGTCCTCTCAGCAGACCCCTTTTTTTGGTTGTCGTTTAGTGTTCACTACACACACACATATATTTGACCCTCGTGTTTACTATACATTCACCGATTTCGAAAATTTTAATTATCATAAATTAAAGGTAAAAATATATATTGAATCTTTTAGCTCTATACAAAGTGTTAGTTTAGTTTTTAACTTTAAAAAGCATTTTTTTAATCTTTTAATTCTAAAATTGTTAGACTTAAATAATAATTTTTCGTAACAAGATTATTTTACAAATTAAATTATATTTAAGAATATTTTATCAATATTTTAAATCCCTATATCATTTTTTTATTAACAGTTTTATAGTCAAAGTACTAAAAAATATATTTTTAAAAGTTAAGAGACTAAATATAATTAAAACCATATATAAAGTGAAAATACTAATAAAATTATATATAACTTGAATCGACCGCAACAAGTAGTAAACATTTAAACATGATTATTGATAATGTGATCAGGTTATGATTACGAAGCCTTGCATAACCTGATGACATTATTAATTTTCATTTATTCATTTAAAAGTCAGTTAAATTGATATATTAAGTAGTACCGATAATATCTTTTCTTAATGACTGATCAGTTTTTAATTATTAGAGCAAGCTCTTCCCCAAAAAAAAAAAGATTTTGGATTCTAAGAAACCTTTCTAATTATCTCTAAGAAGAGTCTAAAGGAATGTACATGTTTGATAGATGACATAACTTGGTGTTTCAGACACAACTGAATTTCCATATGTATTGTCCTTCGTATTATTGTCAGTGCCTAGCTATATATATATATATATATATATATATATATGAAAGGAAGTGGGAAATTGAAATTCTAACTCACACACACGCAGAGTCAAACGCGGACGCTATATTCCAATCGCATAATTTACTTCGAAATCATGTAATTAATCATTTATCATGTTGTGTGTGTGTGTGTGTATTATAAGATGACTAACCCAACGGCCCTTCTAAAGCCATGCAACGCGGTATCTTATCCCTTCCATCTAACGTTCCTCAAAAGTTAGCTGAATATTGCTTATATATAAATGTGTGTATATATAAATAGCTTGAGTGTTGAGTTGTTCAATGAACTTCGTAAACATGTTTATTAACGAAGTTCACGTGTTCATACTAAGAAAAAAGAAGAAGAAAAACGAAAGGGACATTCATTTAATTAATACGATTTACACCTTTAAATCGTATTGGGAAAAAAACTAACGACTCAAAAATGACCCATGAGTCCCACATTAGTCGGGTTACTTTGGAAAAGAGGCAGCCCTGGGCTCGTTGCATGTTTCTCCTGGATGGTCTTATTAGTATTGTAATTCTGAGACTTGTTACAGATATATACCTTTATATATATAAAGTTACAGTAGCCTCTGCTTCCGATTTATAGTGTTTATAACAGATTGAGAAGTCATTACCAATATGAAACAAGAAATTATTAATATTGTGAGCCGTTTAATTTGAACGGTACTATGTATATGGTTATCACGAGAGGTTTGGGAGATTGATTCCCAATTCAAGAACCAAACAAGGAACAAGCCAAACTACGTACAGAAGTGGAGTCTGCGGTTGCATGATACTGAGCTTTAATGTGGGAGCAAGTGACAGATTGATTGTTTTTGTCGTGCCTATTAGAGACGAATCATCAAGAAATATGCAGTTGTCTACCACGTGTAAGTGGGATCACAAGCCCAATTGGCATTGGAGTAGGCCCACGAAACGAGAGAACATGTGTAGAGAAATAAAGATCAGAGAGCAGTTATATACCTTTCACACGCCATAATTAAAAACCGACCAACTATATCTGGGGATCGGACAACTAGATAATATCTGAATGAGTCATTGCTCTACTTCATATTGATCTTATAATGCCCAAAAGGCTCCCAAAATTGAGTGCTAATGGGACGTCTCTTGTTGGCGAAGACTTTCCTAGCTACAACTAATGTGTGTATGTAAAATCAAAAATTGAACAACCATATAATATCTGTCAAATGTATTAATTATAATATCAAAATAAATTCTATTTAACTATGGAAATCCAACTCATCAGACTTCTTCATGACGTTGATGATCACTAAAGACATGAATATGAGGCAAATAAATTAAAGATAGTTACGAGACAAGCACTAAAACCGTAAAGTCGCTAGTTGGGAAGACAAGCCTTCAAATCTGTGTAGTTCTTAGAGGGTTGGACAATAAAAAATTGATACTTTTTTAGTTCTAAATATAAGACTCATTTTATAGTATAATTTCTATTTCGGACCGGAGGAGTACTATGTAAGATTGGATGAGGTTACACAGAGAAAACTGACCAAAAAGAGCAAGAGGAAAGCAGGAGGTAAATGAGTGTGCATTGCCCATTTCTTTGTCAACCCCGATGCTTAGCGTTCAAAACATATGAAAAGGCTCTCCTCTTGAGTATAAATGGATTACAATATCAATTTATGAAACATGAATAAGAAATTATATTACCTCTATGATTGAGAAAACAATGCCTTGTGGTGCCACAGCAAGATCCGCTAATGCCGTGGATTGCTCTCCTGTTTCCAATCTTCCGTATAGCTGTTTGTTTCATCACACAGCCCCGGTTTGCAATTTTCAGCATAATCAGCCGTTTCTACTAATCTCAGAACCACTCCAAAAAAAAACAAAAAGATTTTGCCCCACTTCTTTATTCTTCGATTTTGATGGTGATGTTTGGCTAAAACATTGTTTTTGTTGGAATCCTTCATATTATATTGTTCATGATCTCCTGTGATTACAAGAAATCTTCTGTCACTGCTGATTGATTCTCTAACTTTTGCAGGAATCTTTTTGTACAAATCAAACGTGGTAAAAAATGGCAACCCCACCCATACACGTACACATGTGCACGATAATGCTTGAAATATGCAAAATGTAAAGCAGAATAATCAAATAAACTTACATTAGATGGAAACAAAAATAGCCAAAACATAGAAATCCACCAAATTAAAGAACAAGATGGAGGAGGAGGAACTAAAAGGAATTAGAGAAATCACTGGAATACGAAGGATCACATATGCAATTCTCATCTCAAATCTTAAAATCTCTTAAAAGTTTGTGTAAAAAAAAATTAGGCGTTTCATATTTTTTATTACTTAATATTTTAATGAGTACATTTTGAAATAAAAAATAAACAGGTACTTGATAAACATTAAAACATAAACTTAAGTTAAAACTTCATCAATTTTTTTTAAAAGATTCAAATTTCATTTGAATGATAAAAAATAAAATTCTTAGTAACCCAAAATTTGAGGGGACAGTGGGCAAATTGAAAGACAAGGAGATAGGTATATGTGAGGGGGGTGGGTTCACGGGCAGCCCCGAAGATGGAAGGTGACAGACTGATAGGGAGTTATGAGCCATATATGCACAGGTGGTTTTTGGATTTTATTCATCTTGGCTGTTTTTTCCTGCGTGCTTCCCCTAACGGCTTAATTAGTTGATCTTCCCAAAATTGAAAATTGACGTCTCACTTGTTTATGCACTTCAAAATCTCTCCAATTTTATACTACCTCCAATTGTAAAAACTGTATAATTTTACTGCTAGTTATTTATAATAAATAAATATTATTACTAACAAAATAAAAGATAAACGAGTATTATTTTTGCTAGAATATCTTTGTTAATTATGTATATTAGAATGAAAACCATTTAGCATGTGTGTTCATCATGGGGACCACTTTGAGAAAAAAAAATATATGAAAAAAAGTGAATTAGAATATTATATTTAGAATCAAATTGAATCTCTAACTATTTCTTATATTCAAGACCAGAAATAGTAGATATGTACACATATCATGAAAAAATAAATAAATATATAGACGACAAAATGAATTAGAGTTTTATATTTATAGCCAAATTGAACCTCTAACTAAATCTTATATTTAAAATTGGAGACAATATATACGTGTATACGTATCATTTTATCCATCTACCACTCTTAACTGCTATTAAAGTATTCAAACATATTAAATACAATATATAGAAATAATACTACAACAATAATGTTTAATATGCACGAGGTACAGTTTGTTAAAAAGGAAAATAAGAAAACATTTGTCTAAATTAGTACTTTAATTTTTTCTAACTATCATTTGATTTGGTAATCCCTAACTAACTAAGCAACCTCCTTTAATTAATGAATTTTTATTTAAGGTAATTTTAAATTTTGCAAGAATTAATTAGACGTAGTTAGTTTTTTAATTTACGCATGATTATTGTTAGCATGGGTTATAAAAAGGAATGGAGGGATTAGTTTTACGAATTACAAATATCTTAAAAACTCAAAATATTTTATCAAATTTTTTGTACCATTTTGCATTTCCAAATTTCAGACCCTCATAATAAATAATAATACTCATTAATTTGCATGGATTAATTAGCGATATGAAATTTCTCTATATATAATGCATATATATATAAAGGCATTATACACAAAATAAATAATAACTTATGTTACATGTGGATTTTCTTCCAGACATGGGTTTTTTTTTTTTTTTTGGTTTCCTTCCACTTCATATCATTTTAGATATACACAATACTAATTCTTTCTCTCTGTTTTTTTCCCCATTCTATAATCAATCTATATTGAAGTAGAAGTTAGGCAATAAGAACAAGGATTACTATAGACTCCTCAAAAAGAGAAACAGAAAGAAGTGCGCCTATCTTCGTCGTGCACTCATCGAACGCTTCCTCCAATGTATTCTCCTTCGTCTTCTTGTTTTGCTTTTCAAATTTATTCTCCGGTTACTTCATAGATGCTTCTATGAAAGAATATTCTCTCATGGCAAAAAAAAAAAAAAAAACTTATTGCACTATTGTATTATATTCGATCCTTCATTTCATTTTAATACTTTTTATGTATAGCACATGCAAAAAGTACACAACGACATTCCTACCTACAAGGTGACTCATTGATATTATATCACAAAACGTTATACATCCTCCAATCTACCTTATATTCAGTTCATTTCACTAACCATTTCTTTTTCAAGTTTTTATACATTAAATCTGAGAACTTGGTAACATAAATTGTTACCAATCAGTTTCTTAAATTTCTTTTAAAATTTTTAACTCACAAAGTCATTGGGTTGATGAATATTTGGTAACATAGAAGAGACAAACAAGAATTGATGAGCTGATACTATTGCAGGTGTATACAGTATTTTTTTTTCCCGATGAAGAGATAGCATAGGACAAACTACCCTATGCCTGCAAGTGCCAGGTGTATACAGTATTTGATATATGGACACAGATCGTTTTTCTAGCTGAAGAATATGAGAAGTCCCAAACACTAACATTTACCAGGCAAGGTTTTGTCTTTCTGGTGGGGACAATTCGTATACTTTATTATATATATGTATATATATTTATATAAATCAAGAGGGCAGATGAGGCCATATTCCTGAAAATAATACGTACGGCCTCAAATTAAATACCTATCCCCACAAGATTCCCCAGGATAGCATCATCTTTGGATTATATAATAATTACACTTAACATTTGGACAAACATAAAGCCAATGCCCAATTGTTTGTATGAAAAATGTGCTTAGAGTAACTGATTGAAAACGAGGAGGGAGAAATCAATTCATCGTCTTCACAATGTCAAATAAAAATGCCTACATTTCTACTTCATGTTTGTTCATCTCCAATCAATTTTTATTTTAATATTGCTCACATTTACCCCATATATTGAACTTTCTCTCGTAAACTTGGTGGTAGTTGCAAAAAATTTGGTGAGAATGTGACCGAGTTCTTTAAGGAGGGGAAACAAAGACAATATATAAAACGGTTAAAGTATAAATTTACCTTGAAAGTTTACACTTAGTAGCATTGGGTATCCAGAAGTTTTTGAGTGCAAATTTGTCCTAAAAATTTAATATGGTTTCTGACAAGTATTATTGAAACAATATTAACAGATAACTAATGATCACTGAGCCACTCGAGAATAATTCAGATAATAACGACGAAGGGAGGATTCAAATGCTCCTGATGAATTAGAAAAGGATAATGATCAATGAATTTTCATCTATTTTTGGATATTATATTATTTTTAAAGTTTTTTCAATTTCAATTTTAATTTGCTTTGGATGCTATTTGAGTAGCTTTCAATAATTTTAATTTTAACCCTGAAGTATTTTTCTCAAGTGTATCTAGTATTGGGGTGTATCTAACATCCCGAAATATTTTTTTAAAATGCGTCTAATATCTTGAAGTTTTTTTTTGCCTCGGCATTGAATGCACCAAAAAATATTTTTCAGTGCTGGACACATCTAAAAAAAATACTGAGGTATTAGAGGCACACAAAAATACTTCACGGTGTTAGACACACTTAAAAAAATACTTTAAGATGCTGCTTTAATATATTGGATATATCTAAAAAAATATTTTAGGATGATAAATGCGACTTAACCGTGGTATATGTACCTTAACCCTATCGTGTATGTCTGACGGCCAAGAAAATGTCAGCCGATATGGGGTCAGAAGATATGCCTAGTCTGAAATCCCAGTCAGTTCATTTTTAAAAAAATAATTCATCTTGTTTGATAATTTTGATCACTAAAATTTAAAATGAATTACACGGACATTTTAACGACACATTTTATTTTAGTAAAAGCCTCCCGCAACTAACCATCTATTGCTCAATCATATACACGTCTATACATAACTGTCAGCTGAGAACCTCTTCTACACTGGGAGCAAGTCATAGTCGTCTTAGATATATATATATATATAGAGAGAGAGAGACACACACACACACAGAGCAATTTTAACTTCAAAAATACAACAAAGCCGTCCCGGGGCTCAAGAAAAAGTCTGTCTCGTTATTCTCTTTCTTATCTCTTCCCGAAAAGCTCCGAAGGAAAAAGCAATGGCTTCTGAGACTGATGGTTGTACTAAGAGGAAAGTGAAGGCAGCTGAATCCATGAGCAAAGCACCTTGGACACCTGAAGAAGATAGGAAGCTTGCTGAGGTTACTGCGGTTTATGGGGCAAAAAGGTGGAAGTCCATTGCAGTCAAAGCAGGTATATAGGTGTATATATATATCGATTGTTTGCTAGTGATTATACGTATAAAAGAACTAATTATCGATTTTTAGTTAAGACGATTGGTACCAAAAGATTCTAATGTGGAGCCAAGTGAAGTTTTGGTTTTTCAGTAAAAAGTTGATGATAGAGACAATAATATAATGATGAAGAAGGTTTTTGGTTTTTACGTAGGCCTCAATCGTTGCGGAAAGAGTTGTAGGTTAAGGTGGATGAATTATCTCAGGCCAAATATCAAGCGGGGAAACATATCAGACGAAGAAGAGGATTTGATAATTCGGCTTCACAAACTCCTCGGAAATAGGTCAGTGCATTACCTAATTATATCTATAATTTACGAATCGTTATCATTAATAATATCATAAAACTTGTTCTCATATGTACTCCTTACGAGAAATGGAGCCCACGCCGTCTTTTAACTTTGAGTTAATATACACATAAACGTATTTTTCACATGCACTGCACGAAGTATAAGAAAAATGAATTCGTGCTCATGTTTTTTGAGTACTATTGCATCTCGATACTAATATGTCGGTATTAATGATGATATTTTGTTGATTTGAATGGGTACAAAATACTACCTCCCGTCTTTAATATAAGAATTAGCTGGAAATCTAATCTAATCCTAGATATAAGATTTTAATTCACTTAGTCCCATATATTTATTTATCTATTTTGCCCATCTAAGGAATCTTTATGGTAATTGCAGGAATTATTTCAAAACATATGATTGACAATAAAATTTTAGGAAGAGAAGCACTCACTTACTACAGATAACTAACTTTTTTAATATTTACAAATTAATTATCTAGCTCTTATATTAAATATAAGAGGTAGTATAAAATTAGAAAATAAATGGGAAAATGGAAGAAGAGATATTGGCAAGCAATTACAGGGCGCGGAGCTGTACATGGACCCAATAAATAGTACGTGGCCTTCTTTTTATCCACAAGCTATGTAAACCACGGATTTAAGATTGACCTTATATAGCCCCCCCCCCCCAAAAAAAAAAGCGCACACGATTCTTTGATGTCTAATAATTAATTAGTGAATCATCCTAAAATTTTAAATTTGTGTAAACAATTGTCGTTAATTGTCTAGGCTGCTTATATAAATGAAAAAACGTATGTTAGGAGGTTTACACAAATGTGACCTAATTAAGTTTAAATAGATTGGGGGTATTTAGATAGAAACCAAACTATGGTTTCAGAAGTATTGTTACGGTTTATGAAGTAAATATGTGAAGGAATTTGTCTCGTTTTGCGGAAAAGTGCTTCTGAAATCATGGTTTGGGTGTTGTCAAACACCCCCATATGTACGTATCTAACTTAGCTGGGGTTTAAGAGAGTTATTTGAAATAAATAAAGGCTTAAAGGGATATATGTGCTGTCACTAAGGTGTAACTCTATTAATGAAATAACGGACTAATAATCAACAATTGGGAAATGCTTTGCAAAAACTGACAAGTTTAAGCAAAATTAATTGTCAGGATTTAACAATTAACTAAGGGACTCATTTGCACAAATGGAGTATCTTGGACATTCCAAACTTTCCAACTAAACTCTTCAAATTTGTCAAAGCCTTTAACATGACACACATGGTATTGTATATTGAGCCTCTACTCAATTTCTTCATACATTATATATAACAGCCTTTGGTGAGAAGTATTAATAAAATGATGATACCCGAGTTTTCACTTGAAAGCGATTAAATGTTACGTTGTAGGTGGGCTTTGATCGCCAGGAGACTTCCAGGTCGAACAGATAATGAGATAAAGAACTACTGGAATTCTCATTTGAGCAAGAAGCTTAAGCAGAGGGAGAAGCACCCAAGTGGGAGTTCATCCAGAGAAGAGAACCAAAAGATGGTCGTAGAACAGAAGATTCCTGAAGAAGCTAAGCTAATTAGAGAACAGGTTTCCCCTCAGGAAGCTGTAGACTCGTCATCAAAACCCAAGTTTGATATTGATGGGGTCTTTGATTTCTCAGAAGAAGGTCCCTTGAATCTGGAGTGGGTTAGCCGGTTCCTTGAACTCGATGATAAAACCTTGGGACTCTTTTCACAATACTAAACGTAAATGGTAGTCATAAGGTGAACATGATATTATTCTGTAAGCTTATGGAAGCATCCTTTTGTGTTATTCATTATTGCATCACCTGTCTGAATATTAGGAGTCTGACTCTTGTTACAAATTGTGAAGATAATATTACCTCCGATCCTAATTATAAGACATCATTTGTAGTCTACAATTATGATCGGAGGTAGTATTAATTATGCAAGTTCAATTGTGGAAGCATGGTATGGATGATTTGTGTGTGTTTTGTTTTGGGGCTAGAACAAGTTAACTTTTTTTGTTTCTTTTGGGTATTAAAAGAATGTGACAAAGATATATTATTAAAAAAGAGGGAAGACTGGAAGAAAAGATAGAAAGATAGAAAGGAGATGAGAATACACATAGCGGACAAAGGTTAGCCTAGAAGAAAGTGATGGGCCCCCTATAATTAAATAATCCAAAATAAATAAGTGTCGGGTTACATCATTCAAAGAGGCAGGATAAGACTCTGGGTTATGGTGATGGACAAGTGGGAAATCCATTAGCATGTGCATAAGATATATGTGTGTGTGTGTGTGTGAATCGTTCAGAATGATGAATAAGGATTGAAATTAAAATTAAAAAAATATTCAAATAGTATTTAGTATGATAAATTATTTGTCACATACGATTGGCTAAGTCTATATATGTGGAATGAGAGAATATTGAAGGGACGCAGTATTTTCCAATCCCACCTCTATGAGTTTATGTAATCCCATAAAACAAGCAATAACTCATAGAAGATATTCTTTTAATTATTTTTTCAATCATAATATCAATCCTTACCTTTCATTCTCAATCTTCCTACCAAGTGGAACCTTAATTATTTATTCTATCCCATTTGTCATGCTCTCTGGTCACATTTTCATGTTTTTTTTTATATTTATTGCTTTTAAGTAATTTCAATTAATTATTCGTTATAGGCGCAATAATTATTTGAAGCTAAGGGAAAATATGTATTTCTTAATAACTATGATATTTAATACCATCAAGTGATATTCTTCTATTTCCCCCCGCTTTTTGGGCCAGATTGTCGTTCCTGCTTCACCCTTCACACAATGCATTGCTTTTACACCGGGACTCTGAATTTGTAAGATCACTCCTATCAACGTGAAACAATGGTGGCCGTCATTAAGTCAATTAATGAAGGACCATTAACACTTGAGACATTCCTTCCAGCGAAGATGCCCTGAATGAATGCTCAGCCTTCCTGCATTTGCATTTTCTGCATTCTCTATCATCTTCCGTTGTTGGAATAAAATTTACAAAATTTAGCAGGCTTCTCACTTCCGCCTACCAACTCGCAACTTCATTGCCTTCTTTCTTTTCAGGGAGGCATCGTGTAGGAAACCAATAACTAATGAATATGCAAATATGTAAGAGGTAAATCCCATTAACTACTCATAATCTCATAATTATATGGTATGTACTTGGAATCTCTGTCTACTAATGAATCCATCTTCCATAAGAAGTGGATTTAAAAAGCTCTGATCAAGTTGCTACCTACAAGAGCTAAAAGCATTCAATGGTTGATAACTTAAGATGTACAGCCGTCCTTACTCTTTATGCTTAAGTTTTCACAAGACTGCTTATTTTCCCTGGATGCTAGTCATTAGAATATGGATCTCTGCACTTTTCATGCAGAAAGAAAACCAGAATTAGTCTCTGCATCAGGTAGAAGTCTTGCTCATCACCAATAAATCAGCAGCCATTAACTTATTTTTGTATGGGAAACGAATCATTGGTGATAATTTCTACTTTCTACAAGGGACTGTCCCAGTTAACAAAGTCCTGGTTGAAACTGTTGATAAGCACGATAATGACTAAAAGATGAATTATAGATTAGCACTCCAACATTTTAAGCGTTGGACTCCCAAACCCAAAAATTAAATCAAACGTTATGTACTTCAGTTACAAATCAGCAGTCACTATTGAGAACTAGCCCCATGCCATGGAACAAGCGTAGTTAACCACCAATTTGCCATCGATCCCAAAATTCTGGACAACATGGAGAGCAACGTGAGAAATCATAACATAAAAGATGCAATATGATAGTGAACTAGAAAACTAGCACTTGAAACACTTGCCCATTTTATGATAAGATAAATAACGATAGCACTGGTAGATTAGCTTGTGAAACAATAGAAAACAAAATTAGTTCTTTCTTCTTCTTCCTCTTTTCTAAATTTTGTTTTTCTTTGCGCCCAAATGCACTCTGACTTGAGAATTGATTTGGGCATGAATTAAAGCATGTGATCCCAACGTCACGGAATTTCTTCCTAACTCCATCATTTAGGTATTCATAATCTTACCGTGTCCCTGACCTCTCGCTTTTCCAAGGATGAAATGTAACGGGTTCCAACCCCCTGCTACAACCAAAATATACAATCGCGACATGACGGAGGTTGTAGAGGAGCAAAACAAGGTAGTCATGATGAAGAGGTAAGTGGAGCAGTTAAAGAGGTGTTGACATAAGTATATAAAAGGGGAGAAAGGCTGAGGAGTAAGGAGAGGAAAAGTTATTCAGTCAAGCCTTAGAGGAGAGAGCCAACCTCTCAAGACTTGGCAAACTTGTTATGGTTTGAGGATTTAGCTCTGTATTGCTGCGCTTGGGCATGTGTTTCTGTAGTAAAATACTTTAGTTCTTTTATTCATCTTACTTGCCGGTGTTCAGAGTCTGTAATCCATTTTTGCACTTGTGTCATTTGTAGTACCTTTGCCGTTCAATGTCCTATAGCAATGGTATATCAGTAGCCTTTTCATAATCTTGTCCTTTGTTGCTATGTTTCTGCTCTTTCTAGGCGTAACAGGGCTGTTGGGTTCAATCTTGCAAGCTGTTATAGTGCAATGTTTTTTCAGTGAAATAGTAAAACTTAAGTTTCATCATTTGGTTTGATCTCTGTTCATATTGTTCTGAGTTCAGTTAGAGAATTTACTAGTTCTTAACAAAATGTGAAGTGAATGTCCGGAAATGTCTGGTGCATTTTTGGGGGAAAAAATCAGACTGACCGCTAGAGGTTAAAGCATGTCAGCGTAATTTCTTATTCTCAATGAGTAGTCGTAACATACTAGGAGCAATGTCATTTCTCTACTTTCTAAGCATGAAGCAATGATGATAAAATCTAAATCAAACATTATCAGAATCTTATGCATTCTACTGCACACACATGAACCGAGTTACAACCTCTCCACCAATTCTGTTCTAACAAGGATGGAGAAATTATTATCATCGAATGAAATAATTCACTTCCAAAAATAGTGTCAGAAATAAGAATAATTAATCACAATAAAGATTATCATTGAAAATTAAAAATAAAAGGAGTCATTAACATCTTACATTATACAAATCAATAACTGATTCATCTGGGTTTGGTGAGAAAGCACTATTTACGTATACAAACTGCACAGCCATGAAATAAAATTCAGTATTCATTTGTGGAGTATTTGACAATCAACGTGGTAATAGGTACAGTGATCGTTTACCAATGTCTCCCTGTGGAGTTGCCGGCGAAGAAAGTCTATCACCTTAGCAAATTTATCAGTCCCAGGAATCTGCCATATCAGCAGTATGTAAAATTCTTATTTTTCAGGAATTCATTATCATAGTACACGAAAAAAGGCTTCACAACAAAATTTACAAGCATTCACAAAAAAAAAATCAATTTCAGATATTCCAAAATGGGTTAATTCAATTAATTCATTGTTGACTAGACTTTGAAAACATAATCATACACCTTGAACTTTTTCGTTTTTCGTAACATCAGGAAAGTTTAAAGCCTGAACCTCTACCTAGCCAACCCACCCTTGCCGTCTGAGTAAGGCTTAGGTGTTCCGTAACCCTGTTTTTCATTCAAGAGAAACTGTTTTATTCCGTCTAGAATCAAAGACTGCAAATCCATATAGATAATAGGCATGAAATTATAAATTCAAAGAGCGACTCATTCCATTCCCTTTCCCTGATATCAGGATGAGAATTGGAGCATGAGAAATCATTCAAGCTACATGCCCCGCTAACTCTTCACATATTTAATAATGTCTGCACCCTCTAAAGATAGATCATGGACTACAACTTCACCCAATTAGAAGTCCCTATCCATTTAGGTCATCATAGCAGAATTCAGTAATTCACCAGTTCACTTTTGGAGTATCCCTATCCATATTAGAAGCCCAAGTGAAAGCAAATCTAGCTCCAGTTATATAACTGAAACTGCTTCTTTCTTCATTATTCTATCCATTAATAGCTCTCCAGGTAATATGCTCACTGTGATGATTGTGGGAAACAGAACAACTGCAGCTCAGCAATCATGATACCTTCTTGGTCTCATGAGCACCACACAATGTTGATTCCTACAACAGTTTCTTAAACTTTTTGTTTCCATTCCTAGTCCAATAATGCGTACGTTGATCCTGGGTGGCTTGGGCTGTTTGATGCAAATCACGGACCAAATGAAAAAGAAAAGCCTAAACTTTATGACTGAAACTTCTTTCATTCATAAACACACCAAAAATGACACCGACAGACTCAAAAGCTCAAGTGAGTCAATATTTAGTTGGATGAGATCCCGAACCAAACTACATCGTCATTCAGTTAACAACTTTACGCTCAAAGGATTGAACCCAATTATCATTTGACCTAAATTACATCAATTGTTTCAGGGGAAACCTTGCTTCGACTATCCATGATAAAAGCTACTTACTTTAGTTTAGATCTATCTTGATCCCCGACAGGGAATGCATGGCCCTATTAGTTGAATCAACTTTATGATTTGGAACAAACTGTTGGAAACTACAATAAGCACCTTTCTTACTAGTTTAGGTACCAAATAATGCAGAGTGTATTCAGAGGAGACCCACAAAAAGGAGAAAAAAAATTTTCTGTCAAATGTAAAATATGACCACATATAATTTTCCCGCATCACTTTTCCAATTAAATTCTACAACAATCATGTTGTCATTAAAAAATTAAACTATATTTTTAAAAAAGAGGGGAACTTTGAGGGTTCAACTACAAACGCCACAGGAAAATTAGCAATTTGACTGAAAAATTAGACAACCACTATAAGAAGTAGAAGTCCAACTCCATCGATAAATACCTTGAATTTCGCTTGCTTGAGTATAGGAGCATCACCGGTGGCTCTCAGATGGACAACCACTGCACCAAGATTAAAGCCCATATTCCAAAACCGTCTGAATAATCCATAGTACAGTTTAATGCGGACATGAAATAGAATCGAATTGTTGATTCATCTGTTGAGACTCACCTTTGCGAACGGAACTTGGTGAATCAGTAGCCATGGCCTTATGAAATCAAGGACCCGCACAGAAATCGAAAACTTACTCCCCGATCGGATCTTCCCCTCTATTTCCCGACCGGCCTTCTCCGGCCGAAAAAACGTAATTTTCCTCAGTATTGAACAAGATACGGCCAGAGTCTGGGCAACCAGAAAAAACAAGATACGGCCAGAGGGGAAAGCAGGCGCACAAAGCAAGATGCAAGAAGCGTGCGTAAATGTTTTGGTCCTCTTGGGCCTTAGCCGTCATGTTTTTGTTTTTTTAAATTTTTGGCCCTCATTACCTCTCTGATGTAAGAATTGATTGATTAATTTAAATAGATTAGAAAAATTTATTAAGTTAGTTAGTTATAATAAATAGATATTGTTTTTCTTAAAATATTCTTACTAATCAAGTGTATTAATTTTAATATTTGATGAAACATTTAATATATGCAACTACTACAAAAACTTTCTTGAAGAAAAATAAATAAATATGAGAGATAAAATGGATTTAGATCTTATATTTAAAATCAAATTAAAACTCAAATTAGCTTTTATACTAAGAATAGAGGATAGTATAAATGATAAGAGCCTTGAATTCAGACTCCCCACCACTTACTTTTAAGTGATGAATACAATCTGTTAATGAATCCTCCTAAATTGCACAAAACCAGTTTTAACAACAAAAAATGGTCAACCATATATCTTCATACAAAACCAACATAGTTTCTCAAATAATTGTCAACCAAGTCCTCATTCAGATGTAGTTAAGAGTCATCTACAACGGTTGCTTGACCATGTCCAGCATCATTAACAAACGGATTATATTGGTTCCAAGGTTCTGAACAACTACAGGCACAATCTCCTTGTTTTGTTTCAATTCCTCAGTCAAATTAGATATTGTTTCCTGCATCCTTCACCATAGATATAGTTGGAACTCTGCTTCCCAATCCTATATGTGCGTTCTTTTTCTCATTCTTTCCACCAACAAACTGAAAAAAAGATGGCTACAATATATAATGTAGACGAGATGTCACCTTCAAAATCCACTTCTTTAACATATCTGATCGGGCTCATCCCTTCCTCCCTTTATGAAATTCTTCTTGAAAAGCAGTCCATATATATTTAGCCAATGGTCTGAACCCAAGACTTTAAGCTTTAATTTCTTAAGTACAGTAATTTATACACAAATATATCGTCTATTCATATATTGACAGCCATGCATGTCTTCAGCTTTCTTAGATATCCAAGCATCCTTTTTCTTACAATGTTGCATTTGCCCTAAAGAGTTCAAAACTAGTAGGCTGCCTATTCGAATCTTTATGCTGCAAACAAATCAATCAGAACTATTTTAGATAATTTGAAAGACATTTCTTTGAACAAATTACCATTCTTTTTTCATACTCTGATGTGAAGACAGAACCTACAGGCCACCAGGGCGGAGTGAGCACTAAGATCAGGGTTTCTGTTTTAGCCATTTCGTTCATGTAGGAAAATGGGCCAGTCCACCCTTGGTGGATTGGGCCCAAGCCCATTAACTTTGGGGCTCTAATGCGAATAACATAACCTGTGGGTCTCAAATGGTGATTTGCAATTTTTCTTCAAATTATGGATAAGGACAGACGGGGGCAGAAGTTTTGTTTTTTAAGTTATTGAATCAGTTTAAGAAATGGAACTTACCAGCTTGCCTTTTTTCCCTCCCGCGTTCTCTCTTCTCATTCTCCAAAAAAGGTGCATTTGCTGTGAACATCCATTCCGACTCCATTATGTGATCGGACTTCCGCGCGTGGCTATCTGAATCTGAGATTATTTGACACTTCAGGTATGCCCGAACACCATGATTGGTATCAGAGCCTGCGTTATTTCTTCCACTGTTCATTTCTTTCTGCAATTCTGTGTTTTCATTTTTTTCCCCTATGTGCCTTACGGTTTGGCACTTCTTCAAATTTGCTCTCAAATATTATGTAAATCCTGTTTTATATTCAGTATGATAGTTGTCTATGATGATTTGTGTTATTTATAGTTTTCCTTTGCTTCCATGACCGTCGGATGTTACAACTTTCTTTTGTTGTCTCCAACTATTATATGATAGTAGTCTGCATGGGAGATGACCGAAAACAATTAAAAACATCTGGAAAACGGTAAAAACGTAGGTTTGGAAGCATGAAACTCATAACCAACAGAGTTCGTTCTTGAGCCGTTAAAGTTTTCATTTTTGGGTGTCTGGAAAATGAATTTTTTAGGCTTCAAAAATTATCCCATTGCGTAGAGCTCGGAAAAACGAAGAAAATGACACCAAGAACGCGAAGAACGGATGTCGGATGAAGGAGATATGGGGGAAAGAATGTTTCGGGTCCGACGGACCCGACCCGCGAAGGAACCGGGTCGGTCAGACTCGACTGGAGGTTGAAGACAACCTCCAGCCCCCCCCAAACGACGCCTTTTTGGCGTGACTAATAAAAAAAAACATGTACTGGGCTGGACATAGGATCTAGCCCAGACAAAAAAAAAAGGAATGTACTGGGTTGGAGGCAGGATCCAGCCCAGACCAAAACAAAAAAAAAACACAAAGGTCCGTCCCAAGAAAAAAAACGAATTAAATTTAAATTAATTAATTAATTAATTACTACCACGTGGCGTGTGAGGCCACATGGCTCTCCTGTCTGACACGTGGGCCACCCCATTTGAAAGGGGGTGGCCCGTGGAAGCCGACGGCCTGGCACGTGTCGCCGTCGGCCGTCCAGATGGCGGCGTGTGTACAACACGCGCCTTCTAGGCAAGTGGGCATCAAAAAATTTTTTAAATTTTTAAGGATTTTCTACTTCTTGGGGCGCGTGTAGGCACGTGAATGGTCCGATTAGGGTGTGGTTTGTCTCTAAAAATCTCTAAAATCAAGATCTTCATTTTGATATATAATTTGATAATTTTAGAGGCAATTTAGGATCCATGTATGAGTATTTTAGTGCATTTTCTGGTGTTTTTATGTGGATAAAAATTCCAAAATATTCAAAATAATTTAAATTATTTTGTTCTAGGTGAAAATGAAGCAAGAGGCTTCTAGTAGCACTGAAAATATCAAAGATGGTTCATTGGAATACTCATGCATGGATAATGTTGTTTCAGAATATGAACCAGAGGATCCTGAAGAGGTTCCTCAAGAAGACCCGGAGGAGTTAATGGATTCTGGACCTGAGTCAGAATCTTTATTCCCCACTGAACCCCTCCGTACCGAACCTCATTTGGTCTTTAATGATTCACTAGATCTTCCCAATGAAACCGAAGTTGAGGAAGGAGAAGAGGTGGATCAACCCTGTACCCCTACTTTAGCTATGAGAATAGCTGAAAGAGATGCAGCCAAATTGATAAACATAAAAGGCATCAATGGCATGCTCGCTAGCTACATCCATTACATGACCGATAAGAAGAATAACGAATTCTACCTTAAAGTCATAATGGAGTATATAAGAGCAATAAGGGTTAGAGGCGAACTTAAAGGAAAACCCATAAGAAAATTTTACTGGATCTGGGCTATAGATTTAGTATCATCCTTTATGACCAAAACACGCAAACTTAGGAAGTTGAGGAAAGCGATGCTTGATTACCTTTATGTTCATATCAAATGATGTAATACTTGTATTCGCTTTATTGATGTTTATTATATTAAGTTTTTTTTTGTTTCATGCATTGTAAACAGACTAAGTATGTTATTTCATTTAATGAAATTACTTGAATTGTTGTTGTATGATTATCTTGTGAATAATGTGTATGCTTTTTATAAGTGGGAGCTTTTAGAAGATAAGACTTCTAAGAGTCACAATTTTTGAAGTGCTTATATAAAATTCTTGATAGGACATAATGATTATTGCCTGTATCTGTGTGATGGGAGGTACAAACGTATGCTCTTGATCATGGATCTTATAGTATCATTACTTTCTGATCAAGGATGATATAAGTACAAGACATTGTATACTTCGCTGTGCTATATAACTGAAATGTTCTATGGTACGTCTCTCTTTTAGAGAGAACATAGAATAATGTAGGATAAATTTGTCACAGAACTAAAAAATGACAACTAAGAACAAAATTGCTGAGCTTAATAAGGGAGAAAAGCTCAACGGGGATAACTGGGACATATGGCACCAAAAGGTTCAATACATCTTGGAGGAACAAGATGTGGTTGAACCTTTAACCACTGCAATGGTCGAACCCGAAGCTGGAAATATGGCCCAACATAGGAGAGATCAAGAGGCTTACCTAGTTTGAAAGAAGAAAAACGGCATAGCAAGAATTATGCTTCTGAGTGCCATGGCTAATGACATTATGTGCGAGTTTGAAAGGCACAAAACTGCACAGGCTATGTGGATAGCATTGAAAGACAAGTTTGGTGGTACTTCTACCACTGAACTTAGAAGATTGACGATTAAGTTCGACACCTACAAGCTCAAGCCAAACAATCCTATGAAACAACATCTAAGAGAGATGGCCAACATGATCAGAGAACTTAAAGAAGCAGGCCATGTCCTGTCTGATGAACAGCAAGTGCAGGCTGTTATCAGATCGCTTCCTGCTAGCTGGGAGCACATGAAAGTCAACTTGACCTATGATGAAAACATCGTTACTTTTAACGATGTAGCCAAACACTTGGAGTTGGAGGATGAACGTTTAGAGGCTTACAAGACCTTTGGACCAGCTTATTACACTGAGGATGCCGGTACTTCCCAATTAAGGCCCGATTCCAAGAAGGGCAAAAAGTTTCAAAGTTCAAAGCAGGCTGAGAGCGAAAAGGTATTAGTGAACTATGTGAATTCACATGTTTCATATGTTTCTAGTACTGTTTTTCTAACAGAACCTATTTCTTCTTCTTGGATTATAGACTCAGGCTCCACAGACCACGTAACCAGAGATCGATGATCCTTTATCGAGTACCGTCGGTTGCCGTATCAAAGCAAGTGGCTTTACGTTGGGAACAACACGAGGATGGAGGTTAAAGGTTTGGGCACTTGCAAATTTACTTTGCGTAGTGGGAAGACTTTGATACTCCATGATGTACTTTACGCTCCCGACATCCGGCGGAACTTGGTTTCTATATTGTGTCTGTTAGAATTTGGGTTTAATGTAAACTTTCATGGTAAAGTTGCAGACATTTTTAGCAACTCTATTCTTTATGGTTCAGCTTTCCTGTTTAAGAAGTT